GGCCGGGCCGGGGGCGGCTTCCCCGCTGGCAGGTGCGGGACGTGCTGCCTGGCCGGCCTTCGTGACCCCGCGCGCCGGCAGCGGCGCCTGGCTGGCCGGGTCCGGCAGACACTCGGCCTGCGGGAGGGACCGAGGCGCGGCTACGGGGCGCCGTGCTCCCCGCGCCCAGCGGAGGGCGCCATTGGCCTCGCAGCCCAGCGAATGCCGCGAGCGGCGGACACCCCGGGTCCGAGCCAGGGACTCCTGGAACGAACCGGTCCGGACTTGGCCTGAGAGTGGAACGCCTGCGTGTAAGCTAGCAGGATGGCTCACGAGGACGAGGACAGTGGACCCGCACGCCTGGCGGTGACTGACCCCTCGTTGGGGCCAGGAGCTTGGCCGAGGCCTTTCTGGGTTAGCACGTCCTCGCCTCAGCTCGGCTCCGTGAGGTGGCACCATTCTGTCCCCGGGCCACCCCACGGCTTCTGGGCGAGCTAGGGGGGCCTGCGGGGCCTTCAGCGCCCTCCGCCGCGCGGGTTCACGGAGGGCAGACCCGCGTGCGGACGGCCACGCACGTGCCACTGCGACTTCGCAGAACCCAGACGGGAGGCGTCTGGCTGCTAGGTCACGGCGTCCCCACCGCGCTGGGGCACCCTGTCAGAGGGACACGGAATGCGCGTGCACACACCTGCCTGCACACGTGGTACAAGGGCCAGGAGCCGGGGAGAGGGCTCCGCCAGACCACTAGGGCTCCCTGGACTCAGACCACTGAGGCCCCAGCACGGAGGGCGTGCCGGCGGGGTGGGGTGAGGGGGTGCTGAGGCCGGGGAGGATGTGGGGGGGGGCGGTGCTGGCGCTGTGGGAGCACAGGCGGAAGAGCCGGGCGAGGAGGAGGGCCAGGTGGGCGAGGCTTGCAGGGCTGTCATCCTACCTCAGCTCCGTGTGTGCGGCCGAGTGGGACCCACAACAGCAAACAAGGGCCCCCCATTCCACGCCGGTTTCAGAGAAACCACGACTGTTCCGTCTCTGAGTATCCCATGAACACTCGGGACATACTTTCACTAAAAAATTGTTCGTTTCTCCGGAATTCTCTTTGAACTGGACGCCCCGTATTTTTTCTGTCCGCAGGCTGGCAGAGACCCACATGGGGCCGGGATGGGTCACCGTCTCCCCTGGTCCCCACGCTGGACTGCCAGAAGCCCCCACAGAGCAGGGCGACACCTTCGCCCTCAGCCAGCGGCCAGCTCCTCCCGCTGGACGGGACAGGCTGGAGAGACTGGCCGCCGGCAGCGGGCGCGGGTCTGCGGCTCTGCACGCCACTCCTGGGCTCACCGGGATGGAAGAAACCCACGCATCAAGCCGGCTGCCAAACCCTGCCTGGCACCGGAGCCTGGGCGGCCAGGCACCTGCTGGGCTGGGCGGGCTCCCCGTTTCCTCCCCGTCCCCCCAGGAGAGGAGAGCGGAGTCTCTCTGGGCCCAGCCCTGGGGTGTGGGACGTGCAGCCAGGAGCAACTGGAGCCCCTGAACCTCCCTCGAGGGCGGGCGGCCCGCAGTGGTCAGCAAGTCAGTGTGGGTGAGGAGGCCCCTGGGGTCTGGCTTGGATGGAGCAAATAACTAAGGTCTGGGAGCCCCTGGGGAGGGGGAGGCGGTGGCCCCCAAAGGGTACACACTTCAGCCTCGCCTGCCAGCCTGGCCCACCCGCACGCCGGCCACCTGGGCCCTACGTCGTCAGCGCCTGCCTTGCCTGCCACACTCCCTGACACCCAGCCTCTCCTGCGCCGGGGCTCATGGCTGTGGACGACGCCGCAGACCCCCCAGGAAACACTCCGCAACCCCTCCAGGGCCCGAGAGGGTCCGAGCCGGCACGGAACGTGCTGGCAACACGCGGACGTGGGATCCGGTGACCCTGAGGCGTCGTCATGGTGAGAAGGGGCACCTGCGAGGGGCGCCATCAGGCCACCTGCACAGTGGCCATCTACCTCGGCCTCCCTCGGACACCTGCAGGGCTTAGGCGACAGCTGTGTCCCCAGTGGCCCCTGAGCAGCCCCAGAGTGCTGGCTCCTGGGACAGCTCTGCCTTGGGGCTGGAAGCGCTGTCACCGCCACTGTGATCCTGCTCCCGGCCACCTGCTCCTGGGTACGATCAGTGTTGGGCCCCAGACCGAGCCCCAGGCTTCGTCCACGAATGACAAACCGAGCGTCGCTGCTGGCACTTACGTTGTCCCGGCCATCTCATGATGTCACTCCTGCAGAGCCGAGGGCGTGGTCGTTCCAATGGCAGGACGACCTCTGTGTCCCCCGGGGAACGGTCCCCATGTGTGGGTCAAACCGACTCCCCCTGTGCCGCAGTCACACCATGTGTGGCTCACGCACCCTGCGGGCAGCCCTCCATCCCATGCAGCCCCACGCGACCCTGGCGACACCGCGGTCGGTTGAGAGCCCACGAGCTTCCTCCCACATTGCTGTCCGCACCACTGCCTGGGCCTCTGTACTGTCGCCCACCGCTGCCGGACGCCACATTCGCATTCTGTCCCCGCGTGTCCAGGTGTCCGCAGGCACCTGATTTTAGCGCCCGTCGGGGCGCTGCTTCAGCCCCGGCGCCCCTGCCTGCCCGGTCTCACAGGCCCGGGGTCTGACCCCGAGGCGGAGGCTTGGTTCCCCGTTGGGCAGACTGTGGGCCGGCCCATCGCCAAACGTTTTCGAATCGCTGCATCCACGCGCCAAGCACGTCCTCGCCTGACCAGGATGCCTCGGCCTCCGCGAGCCACCACGGCTGGGACGCATGCCACATGGGGAGCGTGTGCTCGAGAAGGACTGACCCACGCTGAATAAGATGGTAGCACCCACCACCCGGGGTCCGGTCCCCGCTCTGCCAGGAGCCATCCCCAGGTCCCCGTGGGTGAGAGAGGACCAGCGGCAGAGGTGACCTCACAGCGCGGCTTCTAGGACCGAGTGGGAGGAAGCGGCTTAAGCTCTTGGCACAGGCACCTTGTAAGGTCGTTGCTCAGGAGGCTGGAGCCACTGTCACCACTGACCTGCTGGGACCGAGACTGAGAACGCGAAGGGCTGCAGGAGTTACACGTCGCCCAGGACCCCCGTCCCATCCTGGAAGATGGCACCCTGGGTGCTGACCTCCTCGTGCCAGGAAACTGCCCTCCTGCCCCGCTGCCCGGCACGGCCCCCGACCCAGGCTCTCCGCGTCCTGGCCCCACAGCCCGAAGCCGCGGCGGGGAGGGCCAGCGGGGCGGGCTCTCCTCACCCCGCCTCCCACCCCAGGGCGGCGAGTCTCCCTTGTGCCTGGACGTGCTCTTGGGGCTTGTCCCAACGTCACTTCCTGTGTGTCCTGACACGCAAGGCGCTCTGGCGCCCGGACCTGCTTTGTCTGGGCTGCGCTGTGTCCTCAGGGACAGTGCGCCCGCAGCCTGCAGAGGGCCTGGTGGCCCCGTAAGATCCCCTGACCGACCGAGCGAATGGCAGTAGCTGGCACGATCTGTCCCCGTGAGCCCAGCCAGACTTCGCTGCGGTGGCCCTGAGAACTCACGTCCTCTGCTTCCTGTGCTGCTCTCCCCTCCCGGGGCGGGGCGGGGTGTGGGGGACTCCAGAACAAATATGGCCCCTCCACCACAGGCCCCTCCAGGCTCATCCATGCGAGACAATGTGCATGGAATGTTCTAGATGGCGTGAATCACTCAGGCACACCGCACCGACCTCTCTGTGCTTAGCAAACGGCCTGCCCTGCCCATTTTCCTGGCCCCGCAGGACGGGGTGGCGGGGTCCCCCGCTTTGTTCCCTCCTCCACCCCGGACTGCTGGCTCACAGGGACGGCCCACAGGGACGGGCACACCAGGGCAGTCCCTGCCCGGGGCGCCAGGGCGAGGGCTTCAAGGCACTTCTGCTGGCAAATGAGGGGACGGATAAGTGAGCAAAGGGGTGTCCCAGCGGGATCCGAGGGAGGAGGGTGCCCCCTGCTGGCAGTGACATCCTCAGGATTCTGGCAGGAAGTGAGGTCACTCCCATGGACCCCCTGCCGGGCGACTGGGAATGACCTCACCCTGAGCCTCCTGTGGTGGGGGGAGGGGCGGCGCCTGGGGCGGAGGGTCAGGGGTGGCGGTGCCCACCCCGGCACTTATCTTGGCTGGACCCCCAGTCCTGTGTCGCCGGGCGAGGCACGGCGGGGTGCTGGTCGGGGCCTTACCAGGAAGGACTGGAAGAGCCGGAAGGAGCCCACCAGCCAGACGTACAGGTGGGAGTGCACCTTGGTGGACGTGCCGTTGAAGGCGTTGGCCACCGCCAGGAAGGAGTAGGGCCCGACGGCGAAGAACTCCCAGTCGTAGGCGCCGGAGGTGGCGATGGTCTGGTTGGGCTCGAACAGGCGCGTCCTGGGGTTCCACTTGTAGATGACGCTGTCGATGTTGTGGTCGTCACCTGGGAGCCAAGTGCCAGGTCGAGGGAGGCGACAGGGACTCGCGGTGGCCTTGGAGGGCCCGGCCCGCCCCGGCCCCCAGCCCAGGGCCCTTGTGCCCGGCCAGCCCGGCCAGGCCAAGGGCCGCTCTGCGTGTGGCCCTGCGCCCGCTCGCTCACCAGCGATCACCCTCCCGGGCCAGGGGCCACACCTCCCGCCCCTCCCAGGCCCCCTCCAACTGGCTCCAGACCCCACCCGGGCCTTCTAGGTTCTAGGAGGTGGGAGCCCTCTCCAGCCTCGCCCCACATTGCCCAGGGTGCCCTTTGCCCCAAATCCCCACAGGCCAGACACACTGCCCCAGGAGTCCCTCTGGCCCAGCTTCCCCTGGAAAACTCACTCACTGCCCTCGGGGGCTCCCTGGGGCTCCTTGTCCATCAGTGGGTGGCGGGGGTCCCTCTCAGGCCCCCCACAGAGCTCCTGGCAGGTCTCAGACTGGGGTAAACGCTGAGCCACAGAGCCTGCCTGAGGCCTGAGTCAGAGACGCGGCTGCACCACAGGCCCCTTGCAACCCTCGAGTCACAGGATGGGGGGGCCCCGCCTGGTCACCTGGGATAGCAGCTGGCCCTTGCCGGCCCCTCCCTACCTGTCTCCCCACTGCACACAGGCCTTACAGAGTTTGTGTGCCCGCAGAGGAACAAGGCCCCGCCCCTCCTTCAGCTTGTCCCCACCCACGTCCCCAGCCTGGGGGACCTTCCCAGCTACATCAGCCAGAGCTCCCGAGGGGAGCTTGGTCAGTCAGCGAGTCAGGTGGTCGGTTACTTAGTCTGCAGCCAGGTGCCCTCCCTGTCTCCCCACTGCACACAGGCCTTACAGAGTTTGTGTGCCCGCAGAGGAACAAGGCCCCGCCCCTCCTTCAGCTTGTCCCCACCCACGTCCCCAGCCTGGGGGACCTTCCCAGCTACATCAGCCAGAGCTCCCGAGGGGAGCTTGGTCAGTCAGCGAGTCAGGTGGTCGGTTACTTAGTCTGCAGCCAGGTGGCCGCTCTCCTGTCTTCCTGCCTGGACAGGTGAGGAGGTGCTCAGGTGTGTTCACCCTGAGAGGCACCACCAGGAACTGGGCCGGTGTGATGTTTTATCATTGTTAGGGAGTCAACAACGAGCCTTGTCCTCGCCCAAGACGGCTCCCGTGGGGCTGAGGGGCTGGGCCCTACCTTCCCGGTGGTTGGCCACGGCCAGGAAGTGCTCCCCGGCCACCTCGAAGGCCTCCCAGTCCCGGGCGCTGTGGGTGGGGACCCTCTGGTAGGGTGTGAACCGCAGCCTTCTCTGGCTCCACTTGTAAATGACGGAGAACTCCTGGCCCTTTTCATTCGCATGGAAGTTGGCCACAGCCAGGAAGACCTGCAGCAGAGACGCGGACACTCGGTTCTCGTCTGGGGCCGGGCCTGGTGCAAACGGTTCCCAGCGGCCAGGGACGGAGGCTGAGCCCGCAGCTCCGCCGCTGACGCCTCAGCCAGCCGGCCCCTGGGCAGCTCCAGACCTGTTCGTCCCGTTTCAGCCCCTCACACGTGTCCACGTTCGCCAGCCCGTTGGTGCCATTTCTATGCCCCAAACAGGAAAAGGTTTGTGCACAAATATGCCCTTTTCCACCAGGCCTGGAAGCAAGAAGCCCAGCTACACCCTGCACGTGCCTAGGGAGCCAGACGGAAGGCTTTCTGCTTACGTTTCTGAACTTCCCGACTTTTCTTTGATATAAAGTTATCATTTTTGAATAATGAACACATATAAACCTTTAAAAGATCATCAGCCAAATAACCAGCGAGCGAGTCATCATTCGCCATGCTGGGTCTGGAGCAAGCACTGCGTGGGGGTCTGCCGGCCGCAGGAGGCAGGGTTGGTTTGCTCACTGGTTTATCCCCAGTGGGCGGCGAGGTGCAGGCAGGGCTGTCCACGGCAACTGTGTGGTGGTCAGTGAGTGATCTGGGGGACAGGCACAGGAAGGGGTCCCCAGGGAGCTGGGAGGGAACATTCGCCGGGGCGGGGTGGGCGGCCGATGCCCAGCGCAGCCCTGACCCGAAGCGGGGCTGCCTGCAGGGCCCCACACCTGGGGCCTCCTGCGTCCCGCGCGTGTGGGGTGGAGGGAAGGGTCGGGGGCCCCTCTGAGATAATTTCTGCGTTGCTGATGGGTCCCAGGCGGAGACCCCGGCACGGTTATTATTTAGGGAGGACGGACGCACGGAGGGCGCGCGGCTTGGAAAGGCCCGTGGGGCCCCTGCAGACCCGCCTCGGGCCGTGCGGGGAGGGCGGTCCGCCCCCCTTGGAGGCTCTGGGGCGCAGACCCGCTTCCTCCTGCAAAAGCTTCGCGCGCAGCCCCGACCTCTCGCCTCTGGGGTTCGCGCAGGGAGGGCGGACTCGCCTGTCTCCCGATGGTGAAGTGTCTCCAGGACTGCGCCTGGTGCGTGCGGAGGTCCTGGTAGGCCGCGAACTTGCCGTCGGTCCACCTGTAGATGGCGGACGTGGCCTTCCGGTTGGCGGTGGCCACGAAGAGCCCCGCGCCGGGGATGGCGAAGACCTCGATGCCCAGCGTCTCGGAGCGCGTGGTCAGGCTCTGGTACTCCTCCACGAAGTCCAGCTTCTCCTTGGCTGCGACGGAGACGCGCAGGCCCGGTGAGCGCCTCCGGGAGCCCAGGGGACCCTCTTGGGCGCACGACCCCGGGCTGCGAGCCGGGCCCCGGGCGTCAGCGTGGGGCAGGGTGGCTCCCCTGGAGCGAGTCGTCCCGCGGGTGACACTCGGGAGCCGTTCCCCGCGCCGGCCGCCGCCCTGGGAGGCTGGGCCCTCAAGTCGGTCCGAGGGTGGAC